CCCAAAGCATCTTCACCAGATCTTCACCAATCTGGTGAAGATGCTTTAAAATAACCTGTCCTATACCTCACCAAAATGGATTAGGAATGCTTATTCAGTTGTCTGACCCTAGCTGGGGAAGAAAGTGTGAAAAGCAAATCACTAAGGGGTAGTGAGCACCTGGCTACATTCTTCAGGGCCTTCCCTTATTCCCACTATCATGTAATTAATAGCCTCTCCCTAATCAGGAGGCTGTTTATAACCCTCTTTATATTACAAAGGAATATTAATCTGAGATCTCACTACATGGTCCCTCTTCATAAGCAACAGAAGCAGGAAGATCCTGTGGTTGAGCATCACATGACCTGCCTGCCATTGCATCTAACTTTTCTGTTAAGCTTAATCCTCCCTTTCCTCATTTTCTGCCATACCACCATGCTTCAGCACATGTTCACAATACCAACCTTCTTTTCCATTGCTAGAAGAGCTTGCTCACCCATGTCTATATAGCAGCACAAGGAACATTTATAGATATTATTTTTGGCCATATGTTCCTCTTCCTCATTCCCCCCTTCCAAGTGCTCAGGCTAATATCCTGTTGCTTTCTTGGAACGTATCTGTATGATCTCACAGCCTATCCATCCACCAATTGCTGAGGAAGATATGTGCATGATCCAAAGACACCAATTGGCCAAAGTCTGACTGATGCTTGTGGTATTGCTCTGAGGTAAATTTAATCCCTACTTCCCTACCAGGAAAAACAGAAAAGCCTCAATACATCTTGCAGAATTACACCACCCCTTTCCATTGCTTTCTGCAGAAGTAGTATGCTTTCTGCAGAAGAGATTCTCTCTCAAGAAGAAACCAACATATTCCAGCTAAACAGAGAAGGACTCAAGCACAACCCTCGCTGTCTGCTTGGACAAGACACCTCTCTCAGTTATCCATTCATTTTGTCCAGCTTCATTTTCAGTATTCTCAGCACTCCTGGAAACCACACTATGATACCAGAATCAAGTCCTGTGATGCTACCCCCAGATTCCTGGGAATAAGGGCCAAAACTTGTGCTTATGCATGTACTATAATTTGTCTCCAAAACAGACTAATAAAATTCCAAACTGTGTCTATTTTAGGATTTTTCTAAGGTGCCTATCACTGTGGAATCTAAATGCCATATAACAATTATAGATAACACTGTGTGCCTTAAATGGCAGTCCGCTCAGCCTCCCTTGTCAACTGTGTGTCTGTGTGGAAACTTTCCTTCTGCTTGCTTCCCTTCTTGCCTTTCACTTCCTTACCTCCAGTTGTGAGCTGGTCCTGGCAAAGTGCCCTTACTGGAAGAAGGCTTCATCAACATGGTGGGTAGCACATGGAGAATATGGTCAGGGCTGGAATCAATCCAGCTCTCTGTTAAGATTTTCTTTTGCAGGGGACAAGACACTAAAACTGTTGGCAATGTTGTATTCTGGGACAATCAGTTTGACATGTTATAATTACCATAAAATTACACAGTATTTATATTATATAGTTATTATTCGTTAACCTAAAGATGCACACAAACCACTCATGGCAATTAAATCTCTAAATGACCAGTTTCAATCGAAAATGCCTACAGGAACATAGAAAAAAGAGGAGATGCTTCAGATCAGGGCTATGCTGCCTAGAAAGAAACAAAGACAACACTATTAGATTTTTGAGAACTGCAGCTGGACAAAACAGCTCAACAGGTTTTGCCTGTCATCTTTATCAATAGAACATAAACCATGAAAACCAAACAGCAGCATTCAGGAAAAAAGCTTGGGTTGTGATAGCATCCTAGAATAAAAATTGGCTTACAATGAATGACAAACACCAGCCTAGTACCCTAATTTTGAGTAGTCTTGGTTTTGAAAAATGCGTCTTCACCTGCCACAGTTGACTCATGGGGAAGGAGAGAGGGATGGAGAGCTAGAGGTAGCTCTACATTCGTGGGTTGCCTGCCAGGAAAGAGATAAGGCCAGTGTCCTGGTTTCAGCTGGGAGAGAGTTAATTTTTTTCCTAGCAGCTGGCATAGGGCTGTGTTTTGGATTTAGGATGAAAATAATGTGGATAACACACTAATATTTTAGTTGTTGCCAAGCAGTCAAGGACTTTTCAGCTTCTCATACTGGCCTGCCAACAAGAAGGCAAGGGGCGCCTCAGAAGCTGGGAGAGGACACAGCCAGGACAGCTGACCCAAACTGGCCAAAGGGCTATTCCATACCATATGACATCATGTTCAGTATATAACTGGGGAAGTTGGCCAGGAGGTGGTTTGGCTCGAGAACTAGCTGAGTGTTGGTTCCAGGTGGCGAGCCACTGTGCTGTGCATCACTTATTTTGTATATTCTTTCATCATCACCATCATTATTATTACTATTACTACTATTAATCATGTTCCTTTTCTATTTTATTAAACTGTCTTTACCTCAACCCACAAGTTTTACCTTTTTCTTTTCTATTCTCTCCCCTGTCCCACTGTGAGGAGAGTGGGGAAGAAGTGAGTGAATGTCTCTCTGCGGCTGGTTTAGCTGCTGGTCAGGTTAAACCACAACAGCCAGGTGGCTCCCAAAGGATCCTAGGACAACAAAGAGACCTGAAACATCTGACTGGCATAAACAGACTGCTGCATCCTAAGTAGCTCCCAGCTGTGCTGTACCATTTCTAATGTGCATTCATTCAAATTTGAACAGTTGGCTTATATATGTGTCGGTTATTATAACCTCATACTTATTTACATACAGATTTAAAAGCAGCACTTTTTTATAATGAGAAAAGAAATCTGATGGGTTTTATTTTTAATCATGTTATCAATTTATACTTTCACCAATGGGAATTAAAATTATGCCTGACACTGTTGGACTGACATGCCCCTACCTCACTCACCTGTCTCAATTTTGATGTGATAGAAAATATTTTTATGAATGGCCTACTCAACTGAGAAAAATGTATGAAACCCATTGAAATTAAGGTAAAGCATTATCTTTCAGATTCTTGTACTTGTGATTCTTTACATCTATGGATAAGACTATAACAAGGACAAAAGACCAAATACAGGCCATCTAGTTTTATAGGACAATTGCCTTCATCTTAAATAGGGAGCAGTTTTACCAGCGAAGACCACTGGGTCCATCATGACCTGCATGACTGGACTGCATTGACTGAGGAGACTTCAGATGTTATCTCCATAGTAAGGCTAAAGAAGGCTGTAATATCTTACACTGTGTCAAGAAGCTCTGGGCCTGACTCTGACCTCAATGATGTCTAACTGAGCATTACTTGGCAATAATTACTATATTACCAAATAATTAACACTACGTGTTACGTGTTTGTACAAGGGATCTGTTTTAAGATGACATGGGCTCAGTTAATGAAGGGGTTTATGTTAGGTGAGGAACAGAAAAGAGCACAAGGGCTTCAGATAGCCATCAATTTGATAGCACACAGAGACAGTGAAAAAGTCCCTAATTTTCTCCAGCATACTACCTGTGGCCACCTATGGAAATCACCATGCCAAAAAGGAAGTGATACGCCCTCAACCTGAAAATAATAATTCCAAAAAGGCAAAAAAACCCCAGAGAACAAGGGTTTCTGCAGGGAATAATAGGGATGTCCTTTACAAAGCAAGGGACAACAACAGGTCTTTGCCAGGGAATAGCAAGCTTTTAGGTGATGCATGCTTCTGTGCAGGCTGTCAACAACTGAAAACAAAAAATCTTTCTTATCATGTTGTGTTCCCACTCTTTCTACTCAGGATAGCCATCTGAGCCCTCTAGTCAAAATGGAACATGAAGTCCTAAAAGAAAGAGCCACAAACGCCAAACCCACTTGTACCTGGTAAGGATTAGCATGATACACCAAGGATGCCTGGGAACAGTGCATTGATCCACTGTGGAAGAGTTAAGGGATGAGCCTTCATACTTAAGAGGGATGATTTCAGATCTAGCAAGGACCTGAAATACAGCAAGATCTGCTGTTGTGATCAGTGGAATCATCTGAATCATTTACACTGAAGTGAATAGTTACTTGGGTGTAAGCAAGGTTAGACTCCCGTCTAGCGATCTCTGCAATATAAAAGCTGAACACGCATTTCTGTCCCCCTCCGCATCAGCTTGATACTCTGTTACACACATTTGTCTAAAACAGACAAAATATTAACTATAATAAAACATTTCACTGTTATTATAAAATTGAGCCACATCAACAAGGTAAGCTTTTTGCACTTCAGCTTCTTCATCCATGGGCTAATGAGACAGGTACCACTTTTACTTCACCAGGTATGTTCTACAGCTTGCAAGACCAGACACTTTGTACATTGCAACCAAGTAGTATTTCAGCTAACCAGACAGAGAGTTTCTTTTTTATATTTTTCTATATCAACACAGATGTTGCTTCCTTCAAATGTCATCTTCAGTTTGAGCAAAAAAATTAGACTTAAAGCACACTTTAAACTTAATGGAAACATTTGAAAACAAAACATTACAGTATAATCTGTCATTCATTTTGCTTTGGATCCTTCACTCCTGAAATGCCTGCAGTTAAAAACTACAGCCAGAAAAAAGTTAAAAAGTTCTACAGGCCTGTCTGTAGAAAGTAATAGAGATGCCCTGCTAGTGCTGGCCAAGTTGGTATGCCCACTTAGTGTGATGCAATGGCATGCAGAGATACTAGCTGGCATCCTGAAAAGCAGCACTGCTGTGTTTGCATGATGTCACATCTCAGCTACCATCTCTGCTTCTGGTGGTTCCAGGTCCAGAACCAAATCAGTCAGACAGCTTGTGCTGCACCAAGCTGACATAACCCGAGGCAGTTTGTACACTGCATAGAATGGACAGGCAAGCAAAGGAAAATAAGTTATTTCTTTCTCTTTTTATGGTCTCTTTATTTAAAGCCATTTAAAATAAAAGTAGTACAGCTAGGGAAAATTTGTTCTTGCAAATGCAAATGAAATAGGTCTGATTGATCATTCAAGTGTTTTGATTGTCAGTAAACACTTCCCTTACCTTCATGTGTGATTTGAGATTGTCCTTGCGTGCACAGCGAAACGGGCAGAGTGGACACTGATGACTTTTCAAACCTGTATGAATCACCATGTGCCGTTTCCAGTAACTCTTCCTCTTGATAACCAAACCACAGATCGGACACTGGAAAGGTTTTCCTCCTTCTTCTTCTGAGGCTTAGCAGAAGGGGGAAGAAAAAGAGAGGATCCTTTACAGCCACTTGTCGAATACTTTCCCCTTGTAAACATACTCAAGATACCATTTTTCAATGCTAGAATTTCATCTGCAAAGAGACACATCAGTTAAACAACAACATGTACCAGAAATTTCAGTTCCTCCCCCCTGCATATCCCTTTTCCCCTTAATTCTCCTATTCTTAATTCTTCCTATTCTCCCTCTAAGGAAGGTCACTATAATATATAAAGGTTAATGTCCCAAATATCCTTTGGCTAATCAGTAGGGGATGCTACTCTATCTCACCTGGTCCTAATGTTCCTTATAATTTAACTGAACTAAATGGATGTCTCTCATAATCATCACTTAGCAGCTTCATTTCCTATCAAAGGCCGGTTGTAGTAGGGTATAAAAAATATGCTTAACTGTTAAAAAATGATCCATTTCCATATCTGATTGTTAGCTAGCAGGGGAGCAGGATATAAAGCATAGAACAATCCATAACTTAACTGAAAAGCATGCTGGTATTGCATATCAGATATATTTAAATCCAGAAGTGAGTAACTTCAGAATCTCTGCTGTTGAACTTCTTTAGTTATGGCTCGAGCAGATGCTGCTGCAACTGCAGCCATCAGGGGTCTTTGAGTCCTGGGTTTCCTTCTGCTCGTCTAGTTACCAGCGCTTTAAATCTACTGCCTTGTTAAATGTTTGCACTTAGCTTTACTGCCCAATTCACCTAAGATAAGAAAAGATTTGGTGGCATTTATCAGGCAAATATGGTTAGTCGACTGAATGTGGAACCATCGCAAGGTTGAAGGAAAGAGAAACTCCTTGCTGCTAGCTTTACATAAGTAACCATCCATTCATCCCCTCACTACGATTTCCTCTGCTTATTATAAAGAAAGGCCTAGCATTACCATGGAATTGGAAGCCTCCTTCCTCACTGTAAAAGACAGACTATTTTCAAATATCCAGAGCTCAGCAATGTGCATCCTGCTATTTAGAAATTAATTCTCTGAGAATATTTAATCTCATTATTATCAGTTATTTCCTACTGATAAGGATATAGCAAACATCAAATTCCCTTGATGAGGAACTAAGTGATAAAAACCTCCAGAAGATTTGTCAGATCTGAAAATATAATTCTCGGTATTAGGTAGGAAACAAACCCACCATAATTCAACTGATTAGTAGTAGTCATTATGCAAGTACAAAAAAGAACACATTGTCAAAGCATACACTTCTGCAAGTTCAGAAATTCTCCTCATGAAATATTCTATCACACTCAACATATTATCAACTTGTTCCCCTCTCTGCACCTCTACAGAGTAAGTCAAAACTAATGCTAGAATTGCTTGTGTTTCAGTTTTTAAACATCTTTACATCTTCACAAAAGGCAGGAGAAAGACAAACCACAAAAAAAACCCATTAGTAACATTTTTACCTATCATTTCTTTTCCTTCTACCATATCTTTTCTCCAGCCTCTGGTTATCATCACAAAGGATCCAGAAAAGAAATGTGTAACAAGCTATTACCTGTTTTCCGCCCTATTAAAAATAAATCTGCAAACAAGATGGATCAGTAGTAATTTAGCACGATACAAAATATGCAAAGAACTGGACCGAATGCATGTGACTTCACCAATAAAAATGACAATTAACGGCACACAGGAATTATGTCAATGCTCTCTAAAGCTGAACTATGTTAGCTCTTTACTATACTCTATAAACTTCAGCATAAGAAAGAAAATCATGGGCTTCGGCTTTCCTTCATTTTATTGATATCTATTCTATGTCACATGTCATCAATTAGTTGGAAAGACTGACTCCAGTGAGGAGAGAATCAGGCAGTACTTCCCAAAGAAGCTTCAGGAACAAAATTGCAAGCATCATGGGCAAAAAATTACACCAAACAAGCATTCAGTCAGTCAAAGAAGGGTCTGCCACCCATATTCTTTCAAAAACAACATCAGAATTTTAACAGAGATTCCAGGCTTCCTTTTAAATTTCATCCAAAACACGAGCATTTTATAAAATTGGCAATATTAACAGATTGATAGAAAAGCTAGTCTTCTCTGTACCGCTTTGCTACAACCTATGCAAGTAAAGATTAGGTCCACCAAACCTGACACGCAGTTTCAGAGGTGGCTATGCTCTGATAAGCCATTGGGTACAGCCTCTTGCCTGTAATAATTCTGAACAAATAACTCAACATGCACTCAAAAGAGCAACAGGCATACTCTTGTTATTAACATATTCCTCTTTAAATAGCTTCCATCTTTGCTGTTCTTCACTTGTCGCCATCTAATTAATCTCACTGAGTATTGATCTCATAACCAAAGCTAGATGTTGCTGGTGGGTAAGTGAATCAGATTCATAACAACAAAGCAAATTCACCAGTGCCTTAAACATCCAAAGTATGAGAGAGGAGAAAACCACCTCTTAAGCTATGCCTACTGGGTAAAGATGTCTCTCTCTGGGAATAAGACAAAAACCCCCATGTCTCAAGGAGCAATCAGACACACACAAAAAGATAAAACATTATAAAATGAAATACTATTTTTTGCTTTTAGTGCCATAAGGTTATAGGTGCAAAAGGAATCAGGAACGTGTGACATTTATTTTCATGGCAAATATATACGCACAGCTGCCCTACTCAGCTTTTACAGAAGTGAAGTCTTCAATCAAAGGTCACTAAACGGTGACCTCTTTTTGCAAGCTGCATTTCTCCATGGCTGAAGGAATCAAGGAGTCTGGCTGTCCATAAATCAACATCCAGATATGCTAACCAACAATTTGCTTTTACTTTTCAGTTGGTTAATTATTTAGAAAGGAAAAACTTAACAGCATATCAGAAAATGGACTTAAAGAACTTTTGTTATGAACACTGCACTATAAAGTTTACTTGGATGCCAACTGGTGTTGGCCCCGTGCGTATGAACTGAAAGGAAACACCCTTCCTCTTGGGATACTAGTCCCATATATTATAAAAAATGAACAGTTGTTCCTTGGTTACCAAGGACCTAAGGCAGTCATCCCCCATTGTTATCTTTTAGCAGCACAGTATGTTTGGGCCTTCAGCAGAGAACAGTTGCTAGGAATTTGCTGCATCAGAACTAGTTTATAAAGTGCCAGTACTACCAGCGTGCTGGTACAGAGCACTCCCCTAGCATAAGCTGCACAGACAAATCCCACAGTTTGTTGGTCAAACACAGAAACCGGATTTTACTACAACCATTTACTTTTCCCCAGTAAAAACTTATGATGTAACAGCTTTTTCTCCAGCAGGAAATAAACTAATAACTTCAAATAAATTTTAGCCTTACTCCTTTGCTATACATTGCTGCCTTTCTTACATGAAGGCCAGTCTTCACAGAGAAAATTACATTAAATTAATTCCCACAGTCACACTGGTGTAGCCAGTGTGGGTACTCCTATTCCCACACGAAAGGACCTTTCCTTGGTTTAGCTTACGTTACTCCAAAAAGGACTTAATCTACACTAATGAAAACCTTAGGCCAGACCCTTGCCAAGAATAGTTTGCCACTTAAATTGCCCTGGCAAAACACAACAGCAAAGCATTTGTAAAACACATGTAACTCAGAACAAAGAACTGGTACCGGCTGCACCACATCACATCCCTCCTCCTCCTCCTCTTCCAAGGGAGGAACGAGCATTGCTGTCCATCCAAGAGCTTCTATGCTATGAGTTTTTACCAAGAGCTGCACAGGGACAGATCAGACCTCATAATATCCCTAAACAAAAAGACTAGGCCAGAAAGACGGCAGTGCAATTATACAACATCCATGTCAGACTTCATGTCTGTGTACGCTGGCTTGCTACACCTGTACAGTCAACCTAGTATTCCTGATAAAACTCAGTCTGATAAAGTTCTAATATATTGAATCACTTTGTGCATCTCTGAAGAGAGCTGACATGCTTCCTTCCCCTCTGCAGCAGAACACCACTCCAGGGAGAACACTGGCAATATCTGAAGCTGTACGTTCTACCAAAAATATGAATCCATGATGTGAACTTTTTATAGAAAGAGATGAAAGAAACCTTATTTTTCCTTATTTTGAAGATGGATCATTGAAGTTTCCCTGCATGGCTTGCCAGTTCTTGAAAGCTTTTGTTACCAAGACTGTTTCTTCTTATTCCCTATATGCCCGATTCCTTGACTGCCAACAGCTGGAACTGGTGGAGGGAAGTCAGAAGTGGAAAATGGTTCTTGTTGAGCAAATTAGAGAAATGCAGTCCGCCTATTTTTTTTTAAACGACAAAGGATTGTAAAATACCAAACTGCTGCAAAAAATTTTAATGAAAAGTGGCAACATAATAATATACTCTGGTAAATTAGGACAGGGGAGTAAGCAATTATACAAAATTCCATTTGTGACAGAGACAGCAGGAGGGAGAATTCTCCCTTGTCCAATATTTCAAAAGCACTAGTTTTGTACATTCTTGCTGATACCGTGAGCTCCCTAACAGGGATTCTTTGATCTTCTCTGTTAAATATTTTTTGTGGACTTACTCTGAACTTGGTAAGAGGTGGAAACAGCATTGTATGGAATAAAAAAAAAATAAAGTACTGAACTGTACACTCATATCTTTCAAATATGGAAACATTTGTGACAGTTTGGTCTTCAAGTAGTATTTTAAAAAGCTTTTCTATTGTTTACCTAAAGTACCCGTTTCTTATTCTCATAATACATGGAATCAAACCAAATCCAGAGCCATTGAAGAGATGCTGTATAAGCCTACAGCAAAACAAATACATTCTACTTAATGGCTCAAACTGTATCCATACCTGTACTAGTGGGTTTGGATGCTCTTCCCTTAGGGACTGGCAGCAACAATAATTCCAAAGACTGTGATGGAGTTGCTTTCTCTTGCTTCATCTCTGAAAGCTGCAGGGGATCCTCAGCAACCAGTGATTTCTTCTTCTCAGCCAACAGGGTGCCTGCAGCCCTTGCAGCAACCTCCTTGAGAAGGGCAGCTGAAGAGGTCATGGAAGCCAGAGAAAGGAAAGAACTAGCCGGAGGCGGGTGCTCCTGCCCAGGAGTCATGCTTCTTTCACTCACTTTCTTAGATAAAGCTGCTAACGTGGAGCTGGCTGACTGAGAACTAAAAGGTGAGGAAAAGGATTCAAATCTTATAGTGTCTTCAGTCCTTGAAAGAGATTTGTCCTGCAGAACAGCATTGGCTGCGGCTTTCAGTTTCAGGATAGCTGAATCAGGGGACAAACCACAGGTGGTGGTTGAGTTTGGCAACCACTTACCTTGATTCCATATAAAGTGACTACTTGCATTGTATTGGTCACTTTGTTCCTGTTTCTCAGCAAGCTTTCTGGCAAGAACACTTAGCTGCTGGGCATGATGAGCAGGTGGAGAGAAGGAGAGATTTGAGCCAAGATTTATGGGGGACTCGACTCTGCCATTGACTGTAACAGCAGCATCCAGCTTGAGGGAGCCAGCCTCCAGTAGCCGCCTCAGGTTACTACTCAGTGGCTTATTTGGACCAGGAGGTTCTTCTTCACACAGAGGTGACACATCAGGAGAAAGGTGCTCTTTACTCTGTAATGTGTCTCTTAGTGCCTCATTTTCAATGGATCCCAGCTCCGCTGTGTTGCTGCTAGGAGTTGCACTTCCCAAAGAAGTGTCCGGGGAAGTGGACTGCTCTTGGATTCTGTCCTCAAGAGACAACTTAAAGTTCTCCTGGACTTCTCCATATGATGCTTCTGAAGGTGTTTCTGAAGAATTTCCAAACCAGCGTTCTTCTTCACTGAGTTCACCTTCCGCTTCTTCCTGTCTGGTACCATCTGTGTGGAACCAAGAACAACAGGATTATTCCCAAATCTGCGTAAAATAACTTCTTAGCATGAAGTATGCCTGGCCTCTGCATGACCCTCCTGAATAATCACCTAACATCCCCTAAAGTGCACAGACTTGGCATCAGCCTGGATTGAGTGACCAGAAAAAAGTTTTTTGAAAATTAGTAAGTCTTTCTTTGAAGACAAAATCATGACAAACCTATTATCTTTCAGTCAGCATAACTAGAATGGCTAAAACTGCAACAGTACAAATATATACTATATATATTGATATATTGCAAATATTTCATTATTGGTACAGTCTGTACATCCTGCAAAATATTATGAACTCTGTGCTATAAAGCAGGGATTTACCAGGCCCAGAAATTACTGGATACTTGTGTCTTTGTACAGCTAGCACAGGCAGGCCTTCAAAAGCAGATCAGGTGTGTAGCTACTCAAAGTAGTTTCTTCCACAGACTTTAAATCTCAGCCCAATCCTGCAGTGACCCCTATCTAAAATAAAATAAAATTTGTACAGATAATACACAATTCATTCCTGAATAGCTGAAATGACTAATACATGAATGCAGGCTAAAGCTCTCATCTCTCAAACTATGTGGGAAAGGAATATCGTACACACAAAATTAATCTTTGGGGTTGGGGTTTTTTCTTCTTGTATAGACACTACTTGCTTGTCATTTGCTTGCCACTCTTCACTAATGTTAAAGTTTTAAAGAGCATCCTAAACTGAACTTAGTTTAGCTGAAAAGAAAAGAAAAAATAAAAGAGAAAAAAAGAAGTGTTGGTCTCAATGCATTTAGTTACATTTTCTCCTCTCTGGTAACTGCAACACATACAGTCTCTCCTGAGACCTAACTGACAGCGTTTAAAGCACTGTGACCCTGGATTGCTCTTCTTCCTGATAGGTATTCAAAGTCTGATAGGTATTCAAAGTCACACAGACATGACCAAGACTTTTTTTTGCAGATATTGCTGGCCAACGAGAACGTGGTTAAGAACAACAGCACTGCTAGAATTAAATTCATGTTATCTTCTCTTGCCAGATACCTCTCACATTTCTTGCTTTTCGACTCAATGTCCCAAGCTACAAAAGAATCTTTGTAATCATACTACAGCAAAACAAAAGGATTTAATATAACCCTCCACTGACATTCTGGAAATGAACCTGCATGATATATACTGTATCTATGATCATGTGTTATTCCCAGATTCCCTATTTAATTCCAGCAAATTACAAAACTTGGAGAGAAGTTGATGAATAAAACTTAGATTTATATTATTGCTTTGATCCAATGAATTTAAGGAGGAAAACCCCAGCCAAATGTATCATGAGTATAGAGATACCAGCATACACTCTCAAAGCAAATTTTTTTTTTTTAAATGTGATACAGGATATGAGGCATAGTCTCTCACAGTAACTTCCTTTTACTCAAAAACCTTTGGAAAAAAATTCGCCAATGTTTTAAGAGCCCACAATGAAACCACTCAGTTCCCTTAGGTTAGTAATTCAAGCAGAACAGAATTAGCATCTTTCCTATTCAAAACAAAGAAAAGCCAAGCAAACTCCAAAGCACTTACCTGAAATTATTTTGATATTATCCAAGTTAACATCACAGACACAGCAAGATTAACAATAACATGTGCATAAAGGCCAATACAATGCACGTTCAAAAAAAGAAGATAGATGCTAATCAGTTGAACCAGCACTTAAGCAGGCTAGAGGAGAACTGAATGTATTCCCTTTTCACCCTGTGAACATCAAAAAGTAACTTGAGGCACGTCAGTACAGTTGGGTGCATTCAGATGAGAGATCCATCCACTCATCCCAGATGCAAGAAAGTTCTGGATTGGAAGTCAAAAAAGCATCTTACTGGCACTTTGCCTGAACTGATACACCAAGAGCAGGGCACATCCTCTGGGACACAGCCTAGAGTTGACACCACTACGCAGCTTCTGAGCCAGAGCTAGCCTGCATACATCTGCTTACATCTGTCTGTGTTAAAACAGCCCCTCCTCTCCCCTGCAAGCCATAACCTCTCTGTGTCTCTGCTGCCCATCCATAAATTGGGAGAACTGCATTTCCCTTCACTTATCCAAAAATTACACTGTGAGAGATATTTAAGTGTAAATGGTTACAAGAGGAAGTGGGTTTTGGTTTTAGAGAAATCTCCAGCCTACTAAATCTCCAAACTTCTCTGTTCCTTGCCATGTACCTCAATTTCTTAACATTTATATGTTTCCTAGTCACAGCCAGCCTTAAAAATACCAGTTAATAACACTGTTTTACAAATTTCTCCATCTTGTTCATCCTACTTGCACTGGAAATGAATTATTCCTTCTCACCTGCACCAGTTTTTGCTCTAACCATAAAAGTAATGTCACACATGTGTTTTTACTACCTATCTCTCCTCTCTAAAGCTGACATCTCAGGGAACATGACACTGTTGTTTGAAGGTAAGGATAGGGATAAAGGAACTACATCTGCTACAGCAGAGCTGCAATACAGCTTTCTTTGACAGTAACACAACTACTCTTTGGAACCAAAAAAAATAAGGTAGCAATAGCAGGAGAGAGAGGAACAGGACATGGATTGCCTTGTTTTTTCCAAACATGGACATTCTCCTTTGGTCTTGCCTGTATGAAGAGCAGCCACCAACACTGACAGGGAGCAACAGGAGTGCAGTACTCTCCATCTAAAGGCTTGCTACCCAGTCCAGAACTTCCCTCCTCTTTGGGCAACGCAGTGAGAGCTCCCCTTCCTGTTGCTAATCTACCTATAACCACTGAAGCACTCTCACAAATCTCCAAGCAGTCTCCATAACAAAGGACAAATTTCCTCTGAAGCATCTCTATCCCAAAAGCCAGCTGGATTTTTTTTCCTATCAGTCAGTCCAGTTTCTTTCTGTACCCAGAAACCAGACCTCTAACTGCTGACACAGTTCTAATTTTCCTCTTCTCAGTAACTCCCTCAGTTGCTGCAGTACCAAGTCCACTGTATTTTAAGGCTGTAAGGTTAATGCTGAAAAAGCCAGCATCAGTGTCTTGTCATGAGCTCAGCCAAGCCTCCTTTGAAACACTAGTGAATTGGTTTAGAAGCATAACAGTGAAGCCTGGTGATTTCATTTCTAAGCAAAGTTGCCATTCAAGGCCTTCAGGGCAGGATTTTAATTCACATTGACTTGTAAGCCTGTGCGTTTGAACAAGCTTGAGAACTCCAAGAGAAATCAGCCCAATCCACCAACTTTCCTATGATTTTAAATTAAATAAAAAAACCTTTCCCTCAGAACTCAGAGGGTTCATGGGACACCCAGACCAGGTCTGTCTGAAAAAGGAGCCAACCTCTATGTGTCTGTCAAGAAACTTCAGCTGTTTCTCAGGTCTGTGGCAGAAGATCTGCATGACATGTTTTTCCTTCCTCTTGCAACACAGCTAAGGAGAACCAGTGAGAAGTCCTTGAAAGCTAGAAATAGAAATGTAATACCATATTTAAATTTCTTCTCTCCACCATAAACATACTATAGTTTGCTGTTACAGAATTACATATGAATGTTAAGCTACTGGCATTTCATTTCTATTGCAGCTTGAAATGCTAAACATGGGTAAGAAACCACATTGAAGTTGCAAAGCAGGAAAAGGTAACTTCAGAGTTAGGGGCAAATTCTCACCAACTCCATTTGGAACAAGACCTGGCTGAGAATCTCACCAACTTTTACTGAGTAACCGCTCATCAGATTGCCTCTTCTCAACAAGATTCAAGAGTCAGGACTTGTCAATGCTTCTCTTTCCTGATTTCCATGGCAGTTCTGGAAGGAGAACCACTTCCCAAACCATTTGCCACTGGCAGAATCTAGTGGAAGTTACAGATGTCCTGCATGCTTCTGGATTACCCCATCACACAGCACCCAGGAGCCTCACACAAGCACTTCTCACTCCTGCCAGCGATGACAAAAGGCACCAAAGTACTGTTGGGCGATTGATGCCACTGATGTAGCCCAATATCAAACAATCTCTGGCAAAGCCACAAATGTGTGCAGAAACACTGTTTGAAGAAGTGCCAGTTTCCCCTCGCTCGCCCACTCATCTGCTTGTTTTCAAATATGGAGAAGTTCTGTTTTCTCTTCAAGAGATGAGTTTCACAGACAATTCTTATTGATCCCAAAGTATGTTATTTCACTTGGTGAGCATCTGCTCTTTTACTTAGAGTGGTGATTAGAATTTGACCCTGATTATCATCAGAAATGTAAATATTAACTTGCCCACAGTACTTATATCTGAAAACTGAAAAAGACAAACATGTTTGTTGATTTATATACTGAGCCACCCAATTCAAATGCTGGAAACTTTAAGTGTACCCAACATAATGTACAGGTGCCATTCCTGAAAGTGGCAAGTGTGAGATGATCCACAGTTCCACTTTGTAGGACTTGGAGTGGAGAAATATGGATGTAGCAGGCTAGATCTAGAAACAGGCTGTGCAGCACACAGGAAAGGGAAGAGTCTCCAAGTTGTGGCTCTGAGCAACAGACATGGGCAGGGAAAACATGATTGAAAGAACACCATTTGGACCACCAGAGATTATCTAAGCAGAGGTTACAGACAGGCAACCTACCCCAAAGAGCCTGAATTTTCATGCTAAGAGGGATAAAATTTCATTTTAATCATTCAGTGCAATAAGTAAATTAAAAAACTTCAGTACAGAATAAACATTGCAAATCCACATGCTACAGGGATATGAAACATATGGAAATTGTAATTATGGGAGTACAGAATAAAAATTAAAACAAATATAAAAGTAGGTAGAAGTCATATAATTTCAAAGAAATGCACACAGGAAAATTGCTGATGAGATAAATTAGGTAAGATTGCCCTAACTTCAGCAGTTACATTTCAAGAAAAATCTGGGAATCTACAGGATCAGGATTTAACGTGATAGGAGTGCCAAACCTCACTTTTATTATCTTGATATTCCAATATCTTGATCTATATAAGGATTTCAGATATGATCATTCAAGTTTGTGTTAATCTAAATAAAGTTACAGTTGCATTTGTTGGCTATTTGGCACCCAGGTCATCTTCCTAATTTGTTGCCCCAACAGCTTATCTTATTCTACCTCTAATGCCTATCATAAACCATTCTCTGTATTATCTTATGCTAAACACTATACCTAGGCCTACTGAAAGAGCTAGGGTTAAGTGATAGGTTTACACTAGGGAACTGAGGAGCTCTGCAAAGATACCTAAAGAATTCAAAAGGATGCATTAAACTTAAATGAAGCAGTAAGCCATCTATAAGGAGTTCTGAGGAAACACAGACTGACTCAGATGAGCAGTCAGTTTAAGGCCAAGTAAATAGGCAGATGCATCAAAAATAAGGCAGAGACAACATGTGAACAACGTAGAACTTAGCCTCATGTGACTTTTATCAAGAATAGCAAGAAAAAGGGAGTGAATGAAGAGAAGCAACAGCTGACAACTGAGAAGGCATGGACAACTAGTCACGGACAAGGAAGAGGTGAGACTGATAGTAACTGATGTGCTCATGTTTGGCCTCCAGGATGGCTTCCCATGTCCTACTCCCTCCTGTCTGCTTTCTTTCTTTCCTCAGAGAAGGATCAGGCCACAGGCAAAAACAGGCCTTTCTGGCAGTC